TCGAGGCTCCTTGCTAGCTAAGCTGCGTGATATTGTCTTTGACCTTTGCTGTAATAAGGAACATATTACAGAAATGGAACTGAGGCAGGGATTTAGAAAGCTGCTTTACTCAGAAAGCCTAAATAAATTAGGTCGTGCTTTTTCAGTGACATAAATTGCCAAGTCCAGTGAACTGTATCTAAAGCTATTGATCTCCAACATAATGTGTTGTCATTTCTTTTGAAAAGCATAAAATCAACCACTGGACCATAGGCTTACTGACTTTATTTTGTGGTTCTCCACTGTAGTTAAATCTCCAAAGTAGAACTGCTAAGGTTTTCATTTCATATGCTGAAAATAATTCACTGATATTACCAATACTGGTAATACCAATATAAAAGGGCTGGCAAAACTCATTCAAGATGCTTCATAGAAAATTGGGGTTGGAAGGGACCTCAAGAGACCATCTAGTCCCGGCGGTTGGTAAAATACGGCCCACAGGCCGGATCAAGCCTGTAGCAGGTCCCCCGGTCCCGCCTGGCCCAGGTGCCATCTGGCCCATGGTGCATCACACTGCCTCCAAGCGCGCGGTGGGGCTAGGGTGGCTCTGTGGCTGGACTGCATTTCTAGGCAGCCCAGGTGGCAGCGGCTCCTTCCAGCTGCCAACAGCACTGGCCCCAGCCCTATAATACTGGCAGGGATCTACATGCAGAGCCCTGGCCTGGCCCCATGCATACAGCCCCAACCCCGTCCCACTGCATGCCTTCTCTGGACCACCTGCCCACAATGAGCAGTGCCGCTGCTGGACACAGGCGAAGTGGCCGCCCTGTCCTCACAGCTGGCACGCCCTTGTTGGAGCTTCCCAGAGCCCGTACCCGGGCTGCCTTGTGCTCATCTGCCCTGCCACTCTGCCCCTCTGTGCAGCCTGGAGCCAGCAGCGGTGGCAGCAGAGAGGAGCTGCAGGGCAGCTTGGGTGTGGGGTCTGGGCGACTGCAGCAAGAAGGGCTCAGCAGCAGTGAGGGGGAGGCAGCTGCTTTTCCCCAGCGCTCAGCAGCACCTTCTGCCCAACCACCACCACTGCTGCCACTGCTCAGTATGGATGGGATGGTGCGGAGCAAGCAGGCCAGGGTCGGGCCTGTGCGTGTGGGTCCCAGCTGGTCCAGAGTTGGTCTGCTTTGGCCAAGGCGAGTCCACAGCAGATGCAGGGTGGGCTCTGGGCCCAGGCACTCAGCTGCTGCTGGATGTTGGGGCAGTGGCGTGGGCTCAGGCTGCTATGGGGAGGAAGGGGCATGCTGATCGGCCTGCAACAGTTCCTCAGAACTGCCTACGTGGCCTGTAGACCCAAATAATTGCCCACCCCAATCTAGTCCAGCTTCCTACACAAAGCAGGACCATTCCCAGCTACATCATCCTAGCCAAGGCTTTGTCTAGCTGGGTCTTAAAAACCTCCAAGGATGGAGATTCTTCTGGAGTTTGCTATGAATTTCCTTTCCATCATGTGTGGAATGAGCTTCAGCTGGCTGGTGTTTCCCTACACACCCATCCCTATTGGGCATCTGAAAAGTTCTAGCACCAGGACACAGTCTAAAAAATGTCGCTGACCTGCCTAAAAAAGAGGGTGAGAGGACTCTGCTTGTTCACCTGCTCATTGTCATGTACCAACCAGCTTCAGTTATTCCCCAAGTGGTTTCATGTGCATGTTGAGCAAGTGCATATGAAAAAGATGACCTTTTGCCCCAATCAAAATCTAGAATTTTGGAGATGAACAGAATGATTCAAAAACAGGGTAGTGTATGTGCTCTAGTTAGCACCCACAGGCAAGTTAGCAGAGTCTTCTGACCCGAGTTACCAAAGGTTGTTGACAGAGGTTGTTGTATCTGATCTTTATCTGCTGCTAAGAGTTTATCTGGTTCCCGTAGTGAAGTTGAGAAAGCATGGAATTAAACTTAAGGAGTAAAGTCTGTCTTGCTGCAAAGCTGGTTTCAGAACTAGGGTTTTTAGTGTTTTCTTACTTGTATACAGACTTCTCTGATGAAGTGGACAGAGTTGTAGCCTGCAAGTTGTACCACAACAGGGTCAGCATTGTATCATTGTACTTCCTGATTACAGAACACTTTTTAAACATATAAATATTTCTAATAAAACTAAGCCTGTTCCTTGTCATTTCAGATGATGACTGTTTCAGTTTACCAGAATAAAACCTTGACCTTAGCAGTGTCTGCAGACTCTGATAATGTATTCCAAAATTTATCCTGCAGTAGTTTCCAAACCAGTGTCTCAGTGGCAAGACTGCAATTTGGAGCACTCAAGAGCATGACTGAATGGAAAACAGAACAGCAGTGGCCTCTGGGAGCTTAGCATTAGCTTTGACATTAAGGTAGGGAGGCTAGGTCTGGAGCAGAAGTATTAAACATCTTAAGTACTGGCACATGGTTCAGTAGGAATCTTTGGACTAATTAAGTTTGGAAAAGCTCTGATAACCGTAGTCTCAAAATAGAAATATGTGCATGTATCATGATGTGGCTTTGGAGCTCCGGCTGTAAGTGAATAAGTGATTTTTATGGATATATTCCGTTTCAGTGCCAAAAGCCTTTTTAGGCAGTGGATTTTAGAGTTGTTATTACCATTCTCAGATAGTTAGCTCCTCTGCCTTTAGCTTTATGCCCTGCATGTAGCACCCCAGGTGTTCTGTAACCCCCCAGAAATGCTCTGCGGAAGAGCTAAGTACTTAATCCTTGTTTGTCACCAGTTGGTCAGTAAGGAATAATCTCTGTACTCTCAGCTGATTTCATAAAAGCTGTTGTCTGGCAGTCAGTAACCCTTGTTTTCAGATTACTCTGAATCCTGGAAATGGAAAGTATGGTTTGAGGTAGAAAGGAACTGTGATTTTGAGTTTGTTAGTTGTCAGAGAGATTCAGTGCTAGGTGACAAGGTTCTTTGGGTAAATGTGATGTCTTGTATTAGACCAACTAAATAGTTGGAAAAATTGTTCTTTGTGACAGATGAAATGTTTCTCACATGTTTTAACTGAGTGGGATAGAAATCGAGCAATAGTAGTCTTGTTGGATTGAAACTGATAGATGAAGAGTTACTTGGGCACTTCAGTTTTAATTAATTATTTAAGTGAAAACCTGCTTCTCTAGATTCTGTTGCAATTAAAATGGACTTATAGAGGCAGACCCCATGGAAACCAGCTGCTTTGGTTCTTTCTCCCTTTACAGCCTCTAAACACCATGTTATTAATCCAGTATTTCCTTACTGTGAACCCTTATCTTAAATATAGTCACTCTGTAGACCATTTGTTTTGCTGTCTGAATCATTTTTTTTCTGTTCCTTACCTGGAATACAGTATTACCTTTATCTGTATTATACTTTTTTAGGTTGTCCTTTTGCTCCAAGGGGTACAACAAGCTGAGTAGCTGGTAGTCACCGGGCTACTATAGGCATTTTTTGCTGTTTCTGTAAAAAGAAATTTCTGACAAAGATGAATACATATGAAAAAGCAAGATTTTTAAAATTACCTTGAGCATATTCATGATTTGTTCTGCTTCCCTCTTTACCCAAAAGAAGGGGAAGTATTTTTTTCCATATTTCTGCTGCGGGTCCATAACCCATATCTTTTTGCTCAGCGTATAGGACTGCACCCATGGAGCCTCACTGTCTTAAACAAAGCTTGGAGCAGGCTCAAGAGGCTACCTACATTGGGTCCTTTTGCAGGCCCAGCTCTGGGTCTGGACAAAAATAAATGTCAGGCTGTTGCACTTGGCTGCTTTCCTTCGCTGTCACTATGTCATGTCTGTCTAGAACTGCAAATTGCACAGGACAAGTTGCCTATCACTTATTTCTGTGAAGCACCCTGCATACTTGGGGGTGCTTCATAAATAATGCTAACGACAGACATTTTAAACTAAGTATTTCCTGGATAAGGGGGGAGTTTAAAGAGAGTGACAACTTGAGAGAGATAGCAGGGAGAAAATGACCTGCAATTAGCTGTGCTTGGGTGGAGCCTTCGGCTTCCTGAAGCTCTTCCTTGTGTATTATGCAGAATTGCTATTTATTGGGATTCTCCCCCAGGGCACTGGGTGCCAGCAGGACAGTTGATCCATTGTGACATGGCATCTGCAGTGGATCAGACAAGTCCCATTGTTATGTTGTCACTGTGGCAGTCTGCAGCAGTTGCCAGACTTGACATCTGTGATGGTCCACACTGCTGAATTGTGTAGCCTCTGTGCCTGCTTAGGGCAGGAAGAGTCCCGTATAGCCCCTTATAATATGCATTATATTTTTAACCCTGTGTAGCACATATGTAATAGCACATTTCTCTTTTAGACATGCTGTTGACAAAGTCAACTTAACGGGTGAAGACTAAATGTGTACTGTATATTACTCAAGCAGTGATGTATTATTTAAAACGCATTTTTAGCATCTATATATGGAGCCATTTAGATGATTAATGCATGGTACAGAAAAGAGATGTATAATGCATGTGCATTATATATTGTCATGCTTCTTCCAGGAGATGCACTGTCATACAATTATGTGTCTGTGGAATAGGCATGCATGTGTGCTTGTGAAATTACTTATGAAAAAGTGGATTCTTTGAAGAAGAGCAGAAGAGTCATTGAGCTAAAACACCCAAGTCTCTCTCACAAAACAAACAGACTTGCTGAAGGAAAGATATTAATAGGCCAGTTTGCAAAGGAATCACCTTTGTCAGGATTGTGTTTTGGATGGTTTATGGCAAGGCTAAATTCATACTGTCAGATCAGCTCTTCCAAGACTGGGACAGATGCATTGGGTCAGACAGTAGGCTAACAGATGGTAATGTTTGTATTTGGAAGATTATATCCTCTTAGAATATATTATGCATAGCAAATACAATATGACAACTTGTAATATGCTGAGCTAGTGGTTACCATTCACTCCAGCTAAGTAGCTAATTCAGGCTTTTAGCTCTTTAACAAACAACAATTTTTCCGTGATATTTGTCATGCCAGTAATACAAATGATCTGCTTGACAGTCATGAGGAGCTGTACTCGGGTCGTCCTTATGGAGCACTAGATTCTGGCTTCAATAGCGTGGACAGCGGAGACAAAAGATGGTCAGGGAATGAAGTAAGTGTAGTTTTCTTCTTCTTGGGGCAATACTGTGTACAAAAGAGACATAATGTGGAAGTCTGAATATGTGAGGGGACTCACTAACATTAGTGCAACTCTAAAGTGTCATTTCCTTATTAATATTTTTTATTGAGACATCTTTTAAAAATATGCAATATGAGAGAAGGATACAGGACATGATAGACATGAATTAATGCTAGCCTACTCCACTAGGAGAATTATGAAACGTCATGCTAGTTTTTGTATCATGTCATAATTTGTGCAGCTTCTGGTTCATTACTCAAAATCAAGTAAGCAGAGTTTAAAATTAACGAAGGTTTTCAGTGCAATGACTTTCAGTTTCCCAGTTTACGTGTAGCTTTTTGAAAGGGCAGAAGTGAATCTCTGTTATTTAAGAGTAGAAGGAAGGAGGAGGCTGTCTCTTGCTCTCAGGAGACAGCTCCTCTGTCCTTTTGGGGAAAGGCAGCAGGTCAGGCCTGGCATGTTCATGGGAGCCCTGGGCTCCATGCGTGTCCTCGACCCCAGACTGGTGGCATTCAAGGATCTTGAACACCCCCACCTCGGGTGCATGTTGTCTATCCATGCAGTTTTGAAGGAAAAGTAAATTAAAGTTTTGGACAGGCTGTTCATGGCCCTCGATATCAGAGCAGCGCGTTTTAGTGAGACATCCCTGGGAATTCGTCTTTGTGAGAGTGGTGCCCAGCGGGAAGGTCAGAATGAGAAGCCCAGGGAAGAGTAAAGATAACCGAATGTTTGTGCTCACAGTGAGAGGGGCTGTTTCTTGACTGTCACTTTGTTTTGTAAAGCCTACGGATGAGTTCTCAGACCTCCCTCTGCGAGTGGCAGAGATCACTAAAGAGCAGCGACTGCGGAGAGAAAGTCAATACCAGGAGAACCGAGGGAGCGCTATTGTGACTAATGGTGGAGGTAAACATCTGATCATACATGCTGAAGCTCCAAAGTGCATATTTATCTGCCCAAGGCAATAGGCTCTTTGGAGGAAAAGATGACGGAGGACTCAGTTATAAATTTATCATTACGCTAAAAAGCTGCATTCAAAGCATGCTTTTAAGATCATGACATTTACCAGACTTAAACACATCTTAGACGGCTTTACTCCAGCCTCTTTTTTACATAAGGCTGTATGAAACTTGTCTTCAATCATGTGATTACTTGCTATTGCAACCTACAAAGTATTGGCACTCATAGGCCACATCCACACAAGCGTGGACATTTGGTTCCCCCCGGGAGAACTAGCAGTGGGACACCTTGTGCCGCAGCTAGTTGTCCCCGGGGAATGCCTGTGCCATGCACCCTCTGGCGTGTGGCTGGTTACCCCGGGTGGGATAGGGGAGGCTAGGGCATCCTGGGGCTACAGCAGTGGCGATCCTGCTGTGCAGAGTCTTGCCAGCAGCTGGAGCATGGCTCCAGCCAGCCAGGCTCCAGTTTTGAGCAGCACATGCTGCCCCCATGTGTGCTACTTCACTTTTTTTGCACTTTTTTTTTTTTTGACCCCTGGGTCAAAAAACCCCCTGCACTGCTTCCTTGCAGCGTGGAGTACAGCTGAATGTGTGATATGTGGTGCCACAGATGTGTCTGCAGTGCCACATACTGCACAGCCACACTTGTCTGGAGGCAGCCATGAGGCCATCAGCAGGATGGGAACATTTACTGTGTACATCTCTGCCACTTCAGCGAAAGGATTTCATGGATAGCATGGGAGATTGTCATCCTCTACATGCACCAATACTTGAGGGCACTGAGACAGTTTACCAAAGGATTCCCTATTTTACTAAAAGCAGAGGGGTGCTGAGATTCAGGAATCCCAGGCTGTGAACAGGTTGTTTTAGCAAGCATAGACTTTTGTCCTTCTCCTGCAGTGTGATCCCTATCATCCTATTCCCTCCAGCCTCACAGTCTTTTCTCTTTCCTGCCTACTAGTTTCTTGTCCTAGTTCCCATCTGCTCATGAGGACTTTCATCCTAGTAGCAGCTGACTGGCCTGGTACATGCTAATTCCTGTTACCATCCCTTTCCTAGTTGATTGATCAGTCTCTTCCATTGTAGCCTGTGTTGATCCCCATCTACATTCCCTTGCCTCATAGTCTGCTGGCTTCCCTAAATTCAGGGTGGATAAAAATCAGTGATTTTTTTATTTAAATCGATTTTTTTATTTAAATCAATTTTTTTAAATTTAAATCAGATTTTTTTAAGTCATCAATAAAGTACTAAATTTCTCTCATTTAAAAAATAACAGTTACAATTAAATCTCATCACAGGCATGCTAAACCTACACTTACAATCTCATAAAAATGAGTTAATGACTCCGTCACACTCAAAGACATTAAGTTACCTACCAATCACACATGGTTTGGTATCGTTTGAGATTATTCACTCAAAGCTAAGAAATCAACTGGGAGTTGAAAAAGCAGGAAAACATTTATTTCTGTTTCAGGCTATGAATAAAAATGACAGTAGGAATGGGGAGGATGAGCTCTAGTTGTAGAAGTTTTAAGGACCACGTACGTTTAGTGTTGTGATGACTTGTCTGTTAGAGTTAGTAAAATTTGAAAATTAAAAAAAAAGTTTAAGGGCAGATGTTGTAAAATGCTGTATTGACTTGTAAATTTAACATGTTCTAGTTATCAGATTTGCGCCATTGTTTAAGAAATACGTAAAGAAGTATCAGTGGAAAACTTGATTTAAATCAGAATTTTCTCAGTGATTTAAATCACCTTGATTTTAAATTGATCCACCCTGCCTGCATGTGCTCCTCATCCACTCTTGGCACCCTGGCCCCTCCCCAGATCTACCTCCCCTCCCCACCACCTTCCTATCCCGTTCATTCTCAGTCTTTTTGTCCAGAGGGTCCCAGTCTCCCTGAGCTCTTTTCCACCATCCATGGCCCCAGTCTCCTAACCCAGCCAGTCTGCCTTTCTACCTCAACTCTTAGTTTCCTGTCTTCCCCCTCAAGCAGCCTCTGATCCCAGTCTTCCCTCTTCTCCCTCAGCTCTTTCTTCCAGTTGCCTCGTCTCAGCCATGTTTATATTTTTCCTTAGTCTCATTCTTAGAAAAGACTAATCCATTTTTTGCTGAAATAAAAGATGATGATAAAACAAAAACACAGCCAAAACAGTTACATCTTGGCAAAGCTGTAAGAAGGGAAGAGTTGCACAACCTTAATAACACATTGTGCTGCCAGCCCCACCTATGATAGCAACTTTAATTTGTTCTAGGGCTTTTCATACAAATGACATTTCAAAGTCCTGACTAGTAGCGTGGAGCATGATAAGTTTATGAAGGGAATTATATGGTGCCATTGCAAGTCGTTTAAGTTATGTGGCTGAGAGAGAGGTTTTCAACTGAGATTTGGAAAAGGTTGAGATTCCACGAGGAAGGAAGACTCTGGAAAGGTGCTCTGAATGGCTGGAGTGGTGCAGTGCAACAAGGGTGAGAGAGAGCTGTTCTAGTCAAGCTAAGGAGAGCTAAGGGCAGGAAGATGGACTGAAGCAATTTTGATAAGACAACCCTTTCAAAATGCCTGCATCTCCCCCCTTTTATAGTCCTCTGCCTGTGTCATATCTTCATCTGTGTTACCGTGAGCTATCTGGTAAGGGATGATGGAGAACAGTGCATTAGGCCTTGGGGAGTTGGTATTAAGGAGTCCTCACAGCACTCTGGATGTCTTGTCTAGCAGCTCGGTGTTCTTCACCAGGATCCTTGTTTGCTGTCTTGACACTAAACCCCTCTTTTCAGAACCTTACAGAAGCAGTAGTGCATAAGGAAATGCCCCAGATAGCATCCTGGCCTCTGGGAGTTGCTGAAAAGGGAAATCAGTGAGAACCGAACTGTGCCCTGCCCTTCACACCCCCATCTCATTTCAGTGGTTCCCTAATTTTTGCTTCCTTCCTCTTTTTTAAGTAAAACTTCTGCACTCTTTGGGTTTGACTGGCATAATCGCATACTTTCCAGGCTTAGAGCAGTCATACGCAGCTAGCTGGGTCACACTATTGTTCTCTTATGTTTTTATTCTGGTCAGAGTCTGTCTAGGTTTATGCTGGTAGGATCATAGGAAAGGAGGGCTGGAAAAGGACCTCATGAAATCTAGTCCAGCACTGCTTTGGGGGCAGGTTCCATCACTATAATGGTTCCATCATTATAATGTTTGAAGAAGGCATTACTAAACCCTGCTGAAGCAAGCAAAGGTCATGAAAGACTATCTATCTAAATGGAGACTAAAATAATCCATCAGTATGTTTTACTGGTTTATGTATAGTTTGGTGTAAATTGATGGTACTTGCTCATAAAACACATCCGAGAGAGAGACATAGTAATTGCAACCAAACGCACATTTTTACTGTTGTTAATACTTGGTCAAAGTGCAAATGCTTTTCTAACAGTTGGGAAATTCTATATGGTCAAAGCTTTAAAATTGTTACCTGCCTGGTATATAGTTTTTTCTCATTCTATTTTTTTTAATCAACTGTTAAAAGATTGTTTCAAAATCTGGCATTTACCCAATATTACCAAACCAGGCAGAAAGCACAAAATGTCCATGTGGATTTTCCCAAAGAGAAGAAAAGTGTTGTCAGACTTTAGTTCCTGAGATTTGCTCCTATGTTGGTTTTTCTTTTTTACTCCTGCTGCTTATCTAATTATGGATGTTTCCTTTGTGTATGTGTGTCAAGTGGAACATGATCTGGATCAGATCGACTATATTGATAGCTGTGCCACCGAAGAGGAGGAGGAAGAGGTGAGGCAACCCAAGTGCATGGAGTCAGCCAGCCTCAGCTCACAATTCATGGCATATATTGAACAACGGCGAATCTCTAATGAGGTGGTGCTTTTGTTTAAATTAGTTTAAGTTAATTTATCCACTGAAAGCCTTTGTGATGATGTTAATGCTTCTTGTCTACAGAGGTTTTCTTTGGTGAAGAATATAAGAGTCGGCTTGGAATAACAGCACAGTGTAGCGTTTTGTATAGGGCCACAGTTCAAGTCCCAAGATGCTCCAAGCAGCACTTGCCTCAGGCTTGCAAAATGGTTCTCTAGGCCACATTAAGCTTTGCTCAGAGGCAGGAATCCTGTGAGTTAATGCTGTACTGTGTGGAGGAGATGATTGAGTTTCCAAAGGGACCGCTGCCACCAAAACTGTGGAAGTTAACACTTCCCTGATAGTAAACGCCCGTATCTAGAAAACCACTCCTGTCTGCTTCGTTTGGTTATCTCTAACAAATGCTGGTTTTGTTCGAGTTTGAAACACAAGTAACTCATTGATTTTTGTCAGCATATGTATTTGTTACGGGTACCTTGCTCCTTCATTCATTTGGTGGGAAATCTGTCAATTGTGGACACATTTATCATCATGAGCATCACTTTTAACTAGGCAAGGTTCTTTGGGTAAATCCAATATCTTTTATTATTCCAACTGAAATAGTTGGAAAAATTCTTCTTTGCAAGTTTTTGTGTACAAGTACTCTTCTTCAGGCTGAGGAAATCTGCAGTTCTGTACTCTTCCTGGATGGAATAGGATAGAAGCTAGAGGCCCATATGCGAGATTGCCAGCCAGTGAAAATGCAAATTGAGACAGTCAGTGGGTGAGAAACAGGAAGGGAAATGTAGACCTGGGGCTAAGATACAGCTGGTAAATAATAGAGAGGTTACCTGGGTTGTCAGATGTTAGAAAGGTTTATAATGTGCCATGAATCCAGTGTCTATATTTAGTCCATGTTTTTTTTATCTAATAGGTTCATGAAGTGAAGTTTGTAGGCCTGTGTATGAAAGGTGTTTTGTAAATTCTCTTTGAGGATTGGAACTAATATTGGAGAGAGAGTAGTTTTCTTGTGAGAATTTCATAGATTCATAGATGTTTGGGTTGCAAGGGACCTCAGTAGATCAAGTCTGACCCCTGCCCTGGACAGGAAAGGGCACTGGGGCCAGATGATTGCAGCTAAGTGCATGTCTAGCCTCCTCTTAAAGACCCCCAAGGTAGGGGAGAGCACCACCTCCCTTGGTGCCTGTTCCAGATTCTGGCAACCCTTATGGTAAAGAAGTTCTTTCTGATGTCTAATCTAAATCTGCTGTCCGTCTGTTTGTGGCCGTTGTTCCCAGTTACTCGAGGGGTACCTTGGTAAGCAGAGTGTCTCCTATTCCGTGCTGTCCTCCCTTGATGAATTTGCAGGTGGCCACAAGATCACCTCTAACCCTTCTCTTGTGGAGGCTGAAAAGGTCCAGGTCCCTCAATCTCTCCTCATAGGACTTAACCTGCAGGCCCCTAACTGTAGAAATGGCCTCCTCTGAACCCTCTTGAGGTTGTCCACATCCCTCTTGAAGTGCGGCGCCCAGAACTGGACGCAGTACTCCAACTGTGGCCTGACCAGTGCCTCATAGAGGGGAAGTATCACCTACCTGGACCTGTTCGTCATGCATCTGCTAATGCAGGAAAGAGTGCGGTTAGCTTTACTGATCACTTTGTCACATTGATGACTCATGTTCATCTTGGTGTCAACAATGACTCCAAGATCCCTTTCCGCTGCTGTGCTGCTGAGAAGGTCGCCCCTCAGCCTGGAAGTGTGTTGGTAATTCCTTCTTCCTAGGTGCACCACTTTGCACTTACCTTTCATAGTTTCATAGTTAGTAGGGTTGGAAGGGACCTGAGCAGATCATCAAGTCCAACCCCCTGCCATGGCAGGAAAGAGTACTGGG